AAAAAAAAAGTGTATTTGAGGAATGAAGTATATTTGCAGTTTTTTTTTTCAACCTTCGGAATAATGCTTCTTTGTCGTCTAAAAATTTTTCGGCTTTCTGTAGTTCCCAGTCGGGAAAGAGAATGTGACAGAGTTCTTCATTATGCATGCCACTGAGATTTTTCGAGTAGAATTCTTCGGTTATGGGTTCTCCTCCATTGTATCCTATCTGTTACCATATAAGAAAAAACGATAACATCAAAATCTACTTATATATATAAGAAAAAAATGAACTGAGGGAGATAAAATCGATGAACAGACAGACCTCGAGGAACAATTGTCGGTAGGCAATGTAATGGATAGGATCCGAATCGACGAGTGTACCATCAATGTCGAATAGTATTGCTTCCAATGGAGCAATAGAAGCAAGTGAAGAGTGGCTGATATATATTACGTATTGTTAGTCGCAATAAATTTTTTTTCCTTTTTGCAGATACAAAACTTAAAAAAGCCTTATGAGATGATAAAATGGTAAAAACTAAAAACCAACAGTATAGTTTTGAGTGAAACCAGTTCGCGATAGGACACCTTTACTATCAAATAATCCTACAAACTACGATTGATCGGCAAGGATCAAATACTTGGTAGGTTAGAAAATATAAACTAAAATATAACTATGCAAAAATCTATCGCGAACAAGAAGAGGAATGTTCAAGTACTATAGAGTATAAAGGCACTCCCCATCAATTACTCGTATGATGCATTTTTTGCTGCCATGTTTTGAATTTTTTTTTCGAGCTCAATATATTCATCAATCAGTAACCATACTTTTTCCAACAGATACGCATTTCATAGCATAAGAAATCAAGTATGCCTTTTTTTGTTAAAAATGTATGACGGGTCAGACCCGCCTAACGATTAGTATGTCATGATCTACAAAAACGAGCAAATTATTTATAAAGTGCTAATATATATTTTCCCAAGACACAAACTTGGGATAACTTGAGGGGAGATGCTACGGTCTCGTTACAAAACCATTCGTAACCGTTAGGTCAATTATCCCCGACGGTTACATGATGATCTAGCGGTTGCTAATATTTACCCAATCATCATCATCATCATCATCTATCATCAGAATATTCTTCCATTCGCACACATATGCCTATTTCACTTCATCAAGGGGAATCTAACACACCCATATCAAACATCAAGAATAACCAATAGTTGATCGAGGAAAACAAACAAACAAACAGATGATCGAGGGCAACTATCAACCAAGACTGACTTCTCCCAGTTCAAAAGATTCAATCTTTTTCACATCCATGTACAAATCTTCATCAGATTATTACCAGATAGCTACAATAAAGCTCAAATCTTTAACAATGAATACAACAAGAGGGGCCAGAACAAAATACCTGGCTGATGAGGAAGACATGTTCATTAGACGCTGAGGAGTTGGAACAGAAGCAGAAACAATTGTTTGGGTCGAGCGAGGAAAAGGGTTTTTGTAGAAAATTGGAGAATAAATAAAGGTATGGGTTTTATTGTTGTGGGAATAAATAAAGGTGCGATTTTTATTGTAGTTTTTGGTGGGTGAGAAAGGGTAATGAAGGGCTAGCATGGCTTGAGAGGAAAGTTAGCACAGCTTGGGCTTTGGAGATTTGATTTTGACTTAAAAATTTCAGAATCCACCAAAATTTGTGGGTGAAAATTGTGAGGATAACACATATTAGTGTGTGTGTGTGTGTGTGTGTGTGTGTGTGTGAGTGTGTGTGTGTGTGAGTGTGTGGTTTCAATTTTCCACATTTGGGTCCCACTAAAATGTTCTCGAATCAAATCACTTTTTGCCCTTTTTTTCTCACCATATCTATGGATATTCGAAAGTTTATACCAAACAAGAATTCGAAAGTTTATACCAAACAAGAAAAAAAAAAGACAAAAAAAAGGGCATTTGAAATAAATTAAAATGGGAAGAAAGGGTTTAATCCATTTTGCATGAGGGGCACATATTTTTCACCGTGGATTTGTTCATACACACCAATCATTGATGAAAAGATGACCGATTCTGAATGTGGGACATATGTTTTTCACCGTTGATTTGTTCACATACACAAATTAATGGTGATACTAACAATTTTTTTTCATGCTAAATAGAGTTGTGGAATGAAACGGGCTATTACTAAACTTGATTCGACTCGTTATGATTCGAACTCGATCGAGATGTTTGATGATGGTATAGTCTTGCAGAACATAATGAAATAAAAAAAATTAATAATATGGTGTAAATAAACGTGTCTTTTAATATAATTTTATGCGAACTCTCAAAGTTAAATGTCCTACTAAAAGAATATAAATATATACAATACAGTATTTTATAACACAAGTATGTAGTTATGTTACAAAAGTAAAACAAGACGCACATTTGTTCCAAAAGAATCAAACATCGATTCGTCTAATGGTTACAATGACTTGTACAAAATGAAAATTTATTGTAGAAATTGAATTAAATCTATAAAATTAGGACCTTAATTTAGCCAATCTTCATTGCTTTATTGGGCACAATCTTGATATAATCAAATAATATATTAATTAAACTCGTCAATATAAAACTTGAGAAATTATAACTAAACGGAGGTTATTCACTCAACATTGCTCTTAACTAGATCAATTAAGTTTTAATTAGATTATTTAAAGATTATGCATGTTTCTAATTCCTATATAATATTTTTTACTTCTCATTTTTGTATTTTTATATTTTTACTTATCGTATATTTAGTTATTTCATATTCTAAAATCAGACTCATTTGGCATCCTCCCCTCCTCTAGGTGTGGGAGCGTGGCTCGATCACAACATCATTGGGGTGTCGTACTCCCGTCGGGTTCTAGCCTAGATCTCATATTAGGCCCCTCCTCATTGGCCAATTGTGACAAAGTGATCTATATGAAAGCCCATATGTTAATCAGGCAGGCCCATTTTTACTTATCAAATTCAAACGCTTTTCGGCTTTTGTCTAATCTACAAAACAAATTTGCCCTTTGAGACATATCGTCAAACAGGTGGTAGACGGCAGCTGAAGGTAACGTGAGCTCTATCTATGTTTCAGTTTGCTGTTGATTTTACTGTGATATTCTCCTTCTTCCGCTCGTAGTGTATGGAAAAATCATTACTTTTTCCGGATACCATGAAGGGTTTTCTGACATCGTATTTATTTTCCTCGTAATTATGCTTTTGCAGCGAGTTTAGACCGACTTTTGATTGATTTTTTTGTATGGGTTCGTTGTTATAACGCTTATAACTTACGGTAAGTTGAATTTGAATAGCTAATAGATGCCATATGTTGATTTTTTATGCATTTTCTGGCATTTTTTGGGCTGTTTATTACCCTTTTTTTCAAGAAAAGCAGCATATTTGATCCTCATATTATATGATATATTCGCTGTGTGTACTGCGTGTGTGTGTGTGTTGGGTCTTGCGGTTTTCTTGTCCCAATTGCAACTATATGGAGAAAACAAGCTAAGAAAGTGGATTCTTTAAAACTCAGGAAGATGCTAAAGCTCCACTATTTGTAGTTTAATGCTTCTGAATATATTTTCAAATGTGCAGTAAAAGTTTTGCGTAACAATTTTAATCGACAGTCCTATGAGAGCATCGTTAACCGAAAGAAAAAAGAGAGAGAAAAGGAAACATTGTTCTCTAATTTTCGAATTCATTATATTCCTCCTCGGTTCTTTTATGGGCTCGCTTTTTAACTGTTTTCAGGAAAATGTTGCGTTTCTATTCGAGTAATATGCTTGACCTTCTTTGCAGTGAGAAAAAATGCAAAACTTGCGGAAGGCCATTTTGGGCCACCTTAGGATTGGAGGGCCTGTGAGAGGACATTTGCGTGCATTTAGCGCGGCTGCCGATATTAACCAGGACCGGGTGATGGGTCGAGTCATTGAGTTGGTGAAGAAATTCGACAAGATTAATGCTGCTAAGGTTTACATTCTGTGGCTGTGACTTAAATTTTTTTGATTATATTCTGTTCAGCAATTATAATCACCAATTTCATATCTTATTTATGCTTGCTTTGTAAGCTGGTCTGTGATTTGGTGTACTTCCATTTTGAACGTACGTACGAGTTTCCAATTGTGTGATTGAATAAAATGAAAATGCAACAAATGGCTGTTGAAATTACTGGTTAAATAGAAAATGCAACAATGCGTGAATTTTGACTAGTTGAACTGTATTTTATTAGCAAATTTCCATATGCAATCACGGGTTCGGTAGAAATTTTATCTAGTTGAATGAAAATTCATTTTTTTATGTTTTTTATTTTTTTTATTTTTTTACGAGCCGGCCATAGAACCCTTACCTAGCGAATTGTGTCAGGTCACTGAAAAGGCCGATTTCCAGAAGGACTTGAGCCTCGACAGCCTGGATAGAGTAGAACTCGTGATGGCTTTTGAGGAAGAATTTTCAGTCGAGATACCTGATTCCGAAGCAGACAAGCTCAAATGTTGTGCAGATGTTGCTAAGTACGTTATTTCGAGTTCGAATGGGAAAGTTTTCGACTCTTCCTCTTAATTCTGCTTGTTTCACATTTTGCTAGTAGTTAGTTCCATCTGAATTCATCCATTTTCCAGCCGAAAATCTTTCTTTGGTTAGTATGAAACGGATTCTTTTATGATGAAAATGCTCTTCTGGAAAAAGTTTGATCCGAGCTTCAGCTTTAAATCATACGTAGCTAGATTTATGGTCGCGTGAAGAAATCCAAGTGGTCTTTATTCAGAGCTAGTTAGAGAAATGTCTTTAGTTTATATTTCAATGCAGACCTCAAGTGGACATTTTCTTGTAATTTCAAAACTAGTGTTGTTGAATTAAACGAGCTTGGCTCGGCTTGAGTTCGGCTTAGCTCGTTTGGTAAACGAGCCGAGCTCGAGTTCATATAAAGTTCGGTTGCTTAACGAGCCGAGCTCGGTTCGGCTCGAAAAGAGAATATTTATATAATTTTCTATAGTTTGGCTCATTAAAGCTCGAGATTGGCTCGAACTCGGTTTGTTATGGTGGTAAACGAGTCTATGCGAGCTCGATTTTAGGCTAGTTAAGGGCTCAAGCTCGAGCTCGGCTCGGCTCGGCTCATTTACAGGTCTATTCAAAAGATAACTGGGGATTCTTTCTAACCTTTATTTCACCAACAAAAAACATGTACAACTGAAAAATCAAAATCAAAATCAAAACCAAAATCTCTCTCTCTCTCTATCTCTCTCTCTCTCTCTCTCTCTCTCTCTCTCTCTCTCTCTCTCTCTCTCTCTCACAGCGTGACAAGAAGCGCCAACCGCCCGAGGTCCGAGTTACCTATAGAAACGTGCCGTTTGTCTTATCACCAAAAAGCAAATGCTGCACGTTTTGTCTTCTTTTTCCCCTTCATGTGCTCGTCCAAAGATTTTGGCACCAAATGAATGTCGCCAGTGGTGTAAACACGAATACCTTCGGCTGCTGACACGAGTTTGATTGTCTCGAGTTTTCCCGTAAGGGCACGCCAGCATGGCGAGCTCCTCGGGATTCGAAAAACGCTAACCGAACATTTTTTTTCTAAATTGGGAGTTGCATGAAGATTGGAGGGAAGGTCAATTAGGAATTCACCATGAACATCTGTGCTGCCTTTTGCCCATGATTTGTTTGTTCTCTCACTTGTGCTGCATAAAACAGACACTTTTGCACCTGCATATAATCACTTATTATTTTTTACTTTCTTTTGTATATTTCTTTTTTTTGTTGATACCAAAAAAAAAAAAAAAAA